CGTGGACGATCAATTCAATTATTTTACCTACGGATTTAACGGTCGTTCCGTGCGTCGTTCTTTTTTTTAATGAAATGGCGCATTAATTCGCCACGCGATGTTCCCAATGGCGTTTATTAATTTAATCTTCTCCTCGCGGCGTCGTAAACGCGCGCCGCGAAAGCCACGATCGAACCGAGCCGAGCGTAGCCGCGCGACAATGGTTTCCATCTCTCTCTCTTTCCCTCCCTCTCTCTCTCTCTCTCTCTCTCTCTCTCTCTCTCTCTCTCTCTCTCTCTCTCTCTTTCATTAGAACCACGGTTAATCCGCTTCCGCGTCGAATTCGACGGCTCGTTATCGGTGTTCGATTTCACGCAGCGCGGAACGGTAATTTCGCTGGAAAAAAATCGCTAGCGCGCGCTCGTACAACGTGACGAATCGATGCGACACGTTTCTTGCACGACAAGAAAAATTTTCCCCGTGCTGACACGAGAAAGAATCGAACCGAGAATGTAGAACCGCGGGTTCGAATATCGCCCTCGATATAAAATAGCCGCGTTTGGAAATTTATGGGCAGACTTATTTCGGTAAGTAGAATCGGATAGTCGTGGTCAGACATCGCAACCGAGCCTAAAATTGTTTCGAAGGCTCCGGAAAAATTATCTGCTAATTTTTCTAGCATACTCAGTGGAGCCGTTTGTATTTGTTTAACACTCGGACGGCGGTGCTCGGGTCCACTTCGACCCAGAGTATAAATATTATCATTTGACTATCTAGTTTCTGGCAAATAATTGAAATTTTCATACATTTCGTTAAGGTCTATGGAAAAAACTAATATATCTAATAGAAGAAAATTTATAAATAATATATTATAAATGATCCTAAGCATATTCAATTATATTTTATTCTCATAAAGGTTCGCTGTTCGAGGATTAACCTTTAGGGTTATGACTGAGAGGACCTACTTTTAATTTATTTTTTAACAGTAGACGTACCGAGCACTGAAAGACACTGATTTGTCTCATCGTATAAACGTTATAAAATTGCATTTATTTTTGAATCTGCGTAATTTTGATTATAATATACGTATGAAGAAAAAAATGTAGTCAATCATTTCCCATAAAAGCATCTTTATAATTTTAAGAATTGCAAAATTATTATTTTGATACTGTTTAAATTATTTTTATTATACTTTCGTGAACGATCGTACATGGAACTGCATTTAAGCCAGCTGCAATATCAGTAAACGCCGTGGACAATTCTGGATCTGTCATTTCACTGTTTAGAAATATTACGTTGCTTCTTTAGTAACGGTTTTGCTAGTTTTAACGTTAACGTTAATCGTTACCACTTTCCTGTTAGAGTCTAACTTGTTCCGCGATTCGAAACACGGCCTAAATTGATCGGTATTGTGTCCCCCCCCCCCGTCGCCCAATTAAAATGGACATTAATGAAATCAATGGATCTAAAACGGAAGTAAAGGCCACAATGCCATTTTTGCTATGTAGGGCAGACAACCGTGACTGGAAAGCCTGCGTGCACTGAAAGTGTTCTTGGACGGTAAATAAAGATTCAAACAAAAAAAAGCAAATTACATTTTCGATCACTTAAACAGTGTAATA